GACAAATAAACCATCTTTCCAAGCAGCCTCCATGTCTCCAGTGTCTTTTCCCCCACTTGGAGCCGAACCCAGAGGGACACTTCTTCCAACACCATCTCAGTCAACCTCTTCTTTAAAAACCTCCAGGGATGAAGCACCCACAATGTCTGCAGGCAAACTGTTCCCCTGGTTAATTGTCCTCACTGTTAGGAAGCTTCTCCTCAATTCCAGGTTGCTTCTCTGATTAGTTTCCATCCATTGTTTCTTGTCTTGCTTTCTGGTGCTTTGGAAAATAAATTGACCCCCTCCTCTTTGTGGCAGCTTCTCAAATACTGGGATATTGCTGTCAAGTTCCCCTAGTCCTTGTTTTCTCCTGGATGGACATCAATGCAATGTCTTGTCCATTCTCCTGGGCAGCAGGAATAATTCACAGGCACGTGAGCCCAATGATGGAGGGGGAGGGCGCAAAGCCCTTTCACCCCAACGAAAACTACTGTCCGGTGTCCGGTCTGCGCCCTGTAGAACCACCGGCTTCCGGCAGGCGTCGCTTTTCCAAGGAATCGGCGCAACGTGTGGGCGAGAGACAATATAGCCGCCAGGGGTGGTTGGGGGTGGTTCCTCCCCCCCTCCCCTCACCACAGTAGGATAGTATATGGTAATACGAGGGCGGGGTTAAGCCCGGCCTCCTTTTTCTTATGGGAAGCGCGCTGGCTGATCCGAAGTGCTGGGCTTCGGCTTGTCCGTTTCTGGAGCTGGTGCTTCAAGGGACCCACAAAATGTGACTCACCGCCTGGTTGGTCTCACTGGCGGTGCACGGATTGTGACTCTTTTCTCTGGGTTTTGCCTTCCCAGCTGCACCGGCAATCTTTTCTGCGGGCGGGACATGTTTTGAGGCTGTAAGTGGATTTTCATTTATTTACTCGCTGGGTCCTGAATCCTTCTGACTTTCCAAACTTGGTCGTTTCCGTCTGCTTACCTGGGTCTCTCCGATCCTATTAGTGAAATACTTTGGGGAGGGGAAGCGTGGGCGGGGGAGGGTCGATTTCCCGTGTTATAAATAGAGCTTGAGTTTGAGAAAGAATCGACGCCCTCCCTCTCTCCAAAGCCGCGTTCTCCGGAGTTGTGGAACTACAAGTCCCATTGTCTTCGGCCGTCCTGCCGAAGACTGTCAATCTTGAATCGTAAAACATACTTATTTCGAAAGAAGGGGTTCCCCAAAACTGGGGGGGGGGAAATAGGTGATAGAATCGGGATTGCCTTCGTTTCCTTTAACCAACTTGGCAGCTCCGCGCCCAGCCGCCGCTGACGTTAACTTTCCAGGAGTTAGAAAGGCAAGGAGAAAAATCATCTTAATTCGGCAGTTGAATAACTTCCTGTTTGTAGGTAAAAAGGGGGGGAAAAAAAAAACAAAGCAAAACCTCTCCGGAGGACGAGTGTGTCTTTGTGTGTGTGTGTGTTGACCTGACAGCTGTTTTAATCGCGGTGTTTCAAAACCTGCCTTTGTTTTAAAGGATTCACAGCTAGGCTTTTTTTGTTGCCAATGCCTCAAAAATGGTTTAGAACGGCGTGCCTTGAAATGAACGCAGGCGAATGTGGGTCTCGTTTCGAGTGCTGCCGGTGGAACGGATCGGATTTTCACTATGCCATAGGCGGATTTTTTCTTCACGGAATAACAATAAGGATCAGAGGAGAAGGTTGTGAAAGGAACATCCCAACTGCTGACAAGCCAGTGTGGGGTGTTGAATTCACAGGAGGGAGGTTTGGGGAAGAGATGCCCCGCACCTGATATTGCCTGTAACTTTAGCCTCAGTGTATTCTCCATAGTGTAGCTCCCTTTGTTTAAATAAAGATGGGGGGAGGGGGCTAGTTGTTTAGTAAGGATATTACAGAGCTGGTCTTTTCCACCTCGTTGATTTGAATATTGCAAGTATAGAAACATGTCCTGAATCCATGCTGTGGATTCCATGGCTCTGCTATATTTTTCTTTCTTTTGCTCTGTGCCAAATGTAGCATCCAAGGACCATCCTAACCGTGCAAGTGTCTGTAACGTGCTAGGAAGGGAGGGGATTCCTTTGTCAGCTTCCTCTCCTCTTTGTGCCATTGGTGGAACATTGCTAAGATAGCAGCACTAAGTCCTTGGACGGGTCCCGTCCCAATCTCTCCCCCCCCCAAAAAAAGGGGGTGGTGGTGGAAGGGGGGGGACACCTACCAAATCCTGTATTTCTATATCTGGGGAGGCTGGGCTGCTTCTTCCCTTGGGGGTTTGAGATTCTGCTCTGCTCTCCTGGTTCCCCCCCCTCCGCCCTCCCTTGTCTGTAGATGCTCGGAGGCTCCGTTGTCTTTATGGGTGCTATCTTTGAATTTTCTAGTGCAAAGTTTCAGGTGAGGAAGACCTCCTTAAAGGTCAAAAGCATCCTTGCCAAGAAGAGAAGCGGGTGTGGTCCTTGGCAGAAGGGGTTGACTTGTCTTGCAGTGGACACACATGTCCTCTGGCTGATCTAATAATCTTCCTTTGTGCCAGTTTCCCCCCACCCCCATGGTTAATTCTCTTTGTTGGTGGAAGGGAAGGGAATAAACGCTCAAGTCAGTCTCAGAGCAATGGAGTTATATAGCCTATAAGCGGAAAGCCTCACAGCGGATGACAGAAAACGGAGGGGAGGGGGAGGGGTTGGAGCAGCATTCTCCTTTAATAAGAGTATGAGCTGGGAGGCTGTACTGGTTTTACCTATACTGTTCCTTCACAGATTCAGATTTCTTTTCCATCGCACATGGGGTACCAATATCATTCTACCTTGCAAGGAAAATGGAATGAGTCCTCATCAGCTCTTTGGACTACACCTTCAATAATTTCTAGCCAAGTAATCTAAAAGGAGATTAGGTTTGAGAATACTATTGTAAGGTGATCTATTGGGGTGGAGGCTTATTCCTTTTTTTTTCTGTGAAAAATTGCATCCTCTTTGGGACAATTTATTATGGATGGTGACTGCTGCTGATAGAGGGTAAAGAAATAAATACCCCACCCCACCCCCACTTAAGCTTGATTCCTGATGTGGCAGGCAAGTCTGATCTTTTGCTTTCTATTTTTCTTGGCAATTCACCTTCTTCTTCCCTGCAGCCTGCTGGAGGAGGTTGGGCACATATTTGCCAAAAAATACTCTACACTTGCAGAGTACTCATCTCATCCATTGCTCAGTTAGGATTCTACATTTTTTCCTGCTATTTTCCTGCACTTTGTTTACCCAACCTCTTGGTTTATTGCTGCTATCAAATTATACTGTAGCATACAAGCGTTTTTAAGACTGTATTCCCTACCTGGGCTTCCTATAAAGAGTTTGAAAGGTATTCCATCCTTTTGAAACATTAATTCTGTCACTAAACAAGTTGGTTTATGTGATAGATGGAAATAAGGCAGATTATTAATGCAAGCTTGCCAACCCTCAAAATCTGGCTGACTTTCTAAAAGAAATATAAGAAGTAACTTACAAAAACTAAGGAAACAAGTATAAGGTCCAGTATACTGTAAGTGCTGCAAGAAAGGAGCTGACTTTGAATATCTGTGAGAACAAACTAGACCTGCTGACAGATATCAAAATATTTGATAGCAGGCTGCAAGCATTAGGTTAAAAGTCATCATATAGCTTGGAGGTAAACAACTTGGTGTCCTTCTGAACATTTGATCAACTCCCACGATTCCTTGATATTGGCATTTCCAGCTTGGCAAGTGAGTTGATGTCAAAAGGATCTAGAACATATTTGTATTCCTTTTATCAAATTTCTACCCAACCTTTCTGTTTTTTCAATAGTCAATTGGGCTTAAGTCAATTAAAAATAAACAAAATAAACAAAAAGTACAAGGAAACAGAATTAAATTTTACATTGGAATAAATTTAAAAGTTGGCAGAGGATAAGAGTTTGCCATCTTCCTAAATCTTTGGAGAGGGGAGGGGGTCAAATGCATCTCCCTTGGGGAGAGTGTTCCATAGCCTGGGAACTTCTCAAGAGGTGACATTTTCCGATCTACTAGATGGTAGAACATCTTACAACAGAGAGATCTTCTCTAGGGACTTTCCTGATGCTCTGAGAAGTGAGGTAGATTTATAGTGGCAGATAATATTCTAAGCCAAATAAACGATTGAAGCCTGGGAAGCATCTCCCTTGTCAGTCAACAAGAGTGCTGATTTACCACCAGCTTATCGGGTACGTACAAGAGCTGATGACCTGGCAGCACAAGGAAACAACAGCCAATCACAATCCACCAATAGGAAGGCATCACATCAATACAACATATAAAATAGCCCAAAGCACACATTCCGGTAGAGAGAACTTAACTGAGGATGGGCTCCAGCATGAATCTGAAATAGTGGTGAGATTCAATTTTTTTTACCATCAGTTCTGTGGGTGTGGATAGGTGGACATGGCGTGGCTTGGTGGGCGTGACTTGATGGGTGTGGCAGGGGAAGGGTACTGTAAAAATCCCCATTTCCTCCCAATCAGCTGGGACTTGGGAGGCAGATAATAGATGGAGGTGGGACCAGTCAGAGGTGGTATTTACTGGTTTTCTGAACTACTCAAAATTTCCACTACCAGTTTTCCAGAACTGGTCAGAACCTGCTGAATACCATCTCTGGTCTGAAAACTCAGAAGACTAAACCTCTGGTTGCAGTGACTGATCCAGACTGGATCTTGTAACATTATCCTGGGGCACATATATTTGTCTTCATTTGTGACTGATAAAATTTCCTGTCTACTCTTGCATTGATTATGTGCCATCAAGTCATAGTCCACTCTAAGCGACCACTTAGATAATTTTCTCCATGATGATTCAATGTCTCCAGGGCTACTTATTTTTATTTATCCAGATACTATAAACAAATGCAGGCATACAATTTTTACTGTTCACTTTCTGAACCAAGATCCTATCCTCCTTTCACATATAGCCATGCATGTCTATGCAGTTCAGACTCTAGAAGGCCAGAGTAACTCAGAAGAACTGAGATATGAGAAACTAGATCTTTCCCAAGGCTCCAAAGTATTACAATTCCCATTCAGTTCACATGGAAACTATCTGCTTTTGGGGAAATCAACTTTTGTTATGAGAATAGACTGACTTTCAGGACAACTTGTGACTTTTTAGAAATCTTCCCTTATTTTTCCATGTGCTGCAAAAGATAACATCTATCAGGCCAATTTCTTTGCTTTATGGCATCCTTTGAGTGGGTTTCATGCACTCAATTTTTTGTAATACATTGATTTATTCATAAAGGTAAAGGTTCCCTTGCACATCCATGCTAGTCATTTCCGGCTCTAGGGGGCAGTGCTCATCTCCATTTCTAAGCCGAAGAGCCAGTGCTGTCCAAAGACGTCTCTGTGGTCATGTGGCTGGTGTGACTAAACACCAAAGGTGCATGGAATGCTGTTACCTTCCCACCAAGGTAGTCCCTATTTTTCTACTTGCATTTTTACATGCTTTCGAACTGCTGGGTTGGCAGAAGCTGGGACAAGTAACGGGAGCTCACTCCGTTATGCAACACTAGGGATTCGAATCACTGAACTGCCGACCTTTTGATCGACAAGCTAAGCATCTTATACATTCACACAACATATGGCATATAAGAAGCAAGTCACTCTAAGTCATGTATGGAGTATATGATAAGTTCTTAGCAATCCTGGTAATATGTTCTCAAAGTAATGTATCACCATTTTTAAAATTGTATTGAAGTGTTGCTTCCTTCCTGACTTTTAAAGCTGAAAAAAAGCTCCCAGAATGCTTTCCATATATCAAAATAAACATCAGTTACCATGATAATGGTGTAGGTTTTCATATCTGTCGGGCGATCTGTTGCACTTTGGGGTTTAGACAGCAGATGTCTAGACAATAGATTTCCTGACAATTTGC